ATCGATATTGTGGTAGCTCCTAGGGCCCTGACTGAGATGAGGGCTGCTTTGTGCCTTGGCACTGTAAAAATACACAGTAAGAGACATTTCCTGCCCTGAAGATTTTATAATCTAAATAGACAAGGCAGTCAAAGAATAGGAGACAGGAAGTATTATTAGCCCCATTTTACAGAACTAAGGCACACCGCGATTAAGTGATTTACCCAAGGGCACACACAAAGTCTGTGTCAAATTGTGGATTTAAAACCCAAATCTCCCGAGTCCTATTCCAATGTTTTAGCTATAAAATCATCCTTTCTCTCACAGATTAATAGCATAAGGCTCAGATCACTGGATCATGCTAACACTATTAGACCACACATATGCCTTTCAAAGGCTTCTTAATAAGACATCCTGTTGAATGAAAACATTAAAATATCATTTTAGATACTACAGTGATGGACGCTATAGAAAAATGTACCACAGAGAGATTAGATTAGGGTAAGATGTTCCAAGATGGCAAGGACCTCCTTAAAAAAAAAAAAAATCCAATCAACCAGATGTAACTGAGTTAAGCTTGCTCCCTTTTTGAACGGTATTTTAATTCTGAGCAACCGCGGTTAAAGTCCATCAAAGTAAAATTAATTTTGTGATTTAGATTACCGTAAATCACTGTTCAGATATTCCAGTGTCCTATTTTTGACACAAAAAGCATTTTTAATGGAAAAAGGGCAAGCAAGCTATAGTCAGAATTCATGTTTTTTTTATAACTGAGGAGGGTGTTTCTTCATGTCCAACTTGGCTTTTACTATTTGAGACCCAAGTTCAGCAAAGCACTTGAGCATATACCTAACTTTAAATATATGTGTATATCCCATTGACTTCAGTTTGACTGGAATTTACCTTTGCCATGGACTTTTGCTCATGGACCTGTGAGATATAAGCACATGCTTAGAATTAAGCATGTACTTTAGTGCTTTTCCCAAAGCTGTTGTGAATGTTTAATGGAGTATTTACACCACGAATAGTATAGGCACCTGTGCTTCAACACCCATGATCAAACAGATGTTTGTGTTGTAATGCATACCAGGTGCTTTTGTGTTAATGGATCACTCAAGTGAAGTTTTTGAACGCTCATTTTCAATAGAACTTCTTTTTTAAATTGTAAGTGAAGGGAATATTCAAAAATAAAATTATATTCAATAAAGACAAGTGCCTGCTTAAAGCTACACTAACTAGGAACAGGTTTCAGAGCAGCAGCCGTGTTAGTCTGTATCCGTAAAAAGAAAAGGAGGACTTGTGGCACCTTAGAGACTAACAAATGTATTAGAGCATAAGCTTTCGTGAGCTACAGCTCACTTCATCGGATGCATACAGTGGAAATCTCCCCACTATATTTTCCACTGTATGCATCCGATGAAGTGAGCTGTAGCTCACGAAAGCTTATGCTCTAATAAATTTGTTCGTCTCTAAGGTGCCACAAGTCCTCCTTTTCTTTTTACTAACTAGGAAAACTGGAATGAAAGCTGGACATCTGCCCTTAGCTCATAGGTGATGGTAGTGGCAGAAGACACTTGTTAATGTGCACCTCAAATGCCTGGATCCTTTATGTAAATAGGAACTGTGCTGTGGTAACTTCTTGCATATTGTGATGTGTGTTTCTCCCTTGAAGTGATTTTAGTTTCGTATGTGAATAAAAGCTAGCATGTTTGATACTTTCAGGAGTTTAAAAAGTAAGGACAGATCAACTCAAGAAGGAAAAAGCCATGGGAGGAAACCTTTATTTAAAAGTAAATTTAAAAAGAGAGAAATGGTTTATTTTAACATTTCTTTCTTGAAAATAAAAAAAGGTGAAGTTGGTTGAATTTGGGGAAAAATTGCATTTAACACTTGGATGCACTTTGCTCTAAAATGAATGCTTGCTCAAGAGTTTATGAAGGCTTCATGGGAAGAGCAAAGCAATCTAAGCCATATGTATTGGGCAGACTGCCAGTTGTTTGCCAATATGCCCAGGCCACCTGGATATATATGCAGCCAACTATGCCATTCTGACTAGCCAGCTTTAACCTTCAGACTGCTGCTTTTTCAGCTCTTATGAAACTCTAAAAATCTCCAAAGTGCATTCCATTTCTCCCATGCCAGTAGTTTATGTGCATCCAGACAGGCTGTACAGGTACACTGACCAGACAGATCACAGCACCCATTTTGAACGAGCTCTTCTTTTGTCTAGAGAGCAGTTTAATAGTGTTGAACCAGGGCCATAAGATGAGTCTGGAGATAGCAGACTGAAACCTTTACCCATCTGCCGTAGACAGACACTTAGACTGACAAGCCACAGTTTTACTCCCAAGTCTGGGGAAACACTGTTTTATAAGTATAGTTTATCAAGATTTTGTTTAACATAGTTTGCCACGGTAACTTTCTTAACTGAATATTTTCACGAAATTTAAAAGAACTGAAGCATTTATTGTAACTCAGGCATTAATAGCATGTGGTTGCATTATATGAGGTAATTTATTGAAATGTTTATTCATTAAATTTCACTTGCAACCAAAAGTACCTCAATAGTCTATTAACCTTTAGTTAAATTCTGTGTCATGGACAAAGCCTGAAACTAGTACAGTATTTGTGGCAGCATTGTAACATCTAGGTGATTTCAGATACAGTGAAGTTATTCTAAATATTGAAACTAATGGAGAAAAAAGATTATGTTCAACTCGGTAAACACAGCAGGGGAAGTTTTAGTGTAAGGAACAGCAAAATTTTAAATATGGCCTATCTGAGGTGATAGTCATGCACCACAGATTAACTGTCCTTTACCTGAATAAAAAGCAGCTCTGGCAGTTTAGCATGGAGACTTTCCTTCTCTGTATAGCTTTTAATTAATGCATTTCTAATTGTTGTTATATTTTGAGGGTTGGGGGTGCAATCAAGCCTATGTGTTACATATCTGTTTCAGTTTAGAGAGATACATGCAAATATTTTATTTGTGGAAGTAAATGAGAGCAGGGTAGACATCTAGCTACCTGATTGCACCACAGATCATCTGCCAGTGGAAAAACGGAACTGATGTTTATTTGCATAAAACTGTAGGTTCAAAAAGGAGCCAAAGTTAAGGCCCTTTTAAAAATAAGGCCTTTAATGAAGCTGGACTGAGTCTGTAGCTAAACTCAAACCAGGCAACTGTACATGTATCAGGGTTTCAGGATGAAAGTTTGTCACTGTTCTACTGCACATTGCTGTCATTGCGACAAGAAGCTATTCTAGTCCCCTCTAACACTTGTACCCTTGCTTTGTTCCCAACATCCAGCTGATGAAAACTGGCTGAGATCACATGTGGAGCCCATCTGCTCTGCTGCGTAATCCACCAAGGCTTGCTGTTGAGCTGAGTGACCCACTCTTCCTCCCTAAAGGGGTTGAGACACATTGCTTTTGGCGCGAGGGGGTGGCATTGTAATTTTTCGTGAAAATTCACACTAAAACCTTGGCGGCTGACACATTTTTGGGACTCTGATTTGTCTTCTCCTTGTAAGATACATATTGCAGATTTGTCGTTTATTAGTAGAGAAAGACATGGTTGCAAATGCACAAAGACAGACATACAGTGATAGGGAAAGGGTCCCATTGAGTTTTACTGTCTGTCAGGTGAGATGCAGCTGAAGCCAACCCCATCTTTGCTATCCTGGCCTGGTGTGGCTGTCAGCGTAGATAGCTGTGGCTAGGACGGAGGCAGAAGTGCAGAAATGGAGACAGGTGGTGAAACCGAAGGTTTAAAAGGGGTGATATCATATAGGTATTTAAGGTACACTTACAATTCACAAGTTTTGCCTTTAAATGTTCATTGATCCTTTCTGTGCCTAATGTGCTAATATATATTTGCTTACATCTATGCCTACATAAATATATACATCACATTTTTTACTACAGTATTTGTTTAGTCAGTGAGCCACAATGTATCGGTCTACAGTGCTCTTTCTGTGACATTTAATCTTAATAATAGATTTAAGGCACCACTCTAATACCTTGCCTTAATCATATGGTTCTTCTATCAGTCAGTGTTTATTATCTAATATTTCCCTGTGGTGTGTGTGTATGAGAGAGAGATAATTCTTTTTTCATTTTATTTATTTGGACCTGATTTTCTTTTCAGATAAAAAGTTTGGCCATAAATAACAATTCTTTCATCCAAGGATCTCAAAGCAGTGAAGTTTTAAAGGTTGCCCATAATGAAGTTGTTTAAACAGGAATCATAATACCCTTTGAATAATATTTAAGATGTTAAATATCTAAACATTAGTTTGGCTAGCCCACACTTAAGATTTTCTGTTAAAAAGGACTGAGAAGAATATGGCCATGCCAAAGTGGGTGCAATATACAATACTATCCGGAATGGAACAGGTTCTTCATTCTTCTGTCACTTTTGCCTATGCTTTCCCCTTCTTGTGACCAAATTCCCCCTCCTTCATCCATCCATATTTACAAAAGGGAGGGGTCTATTACATGTCAGCTGCACTCCCATCTGTATATTAGGAAGAACATAGGCTCAGTTTCCCTTTTCATGCACACATGGGACTCCCAGTAGTGTTAATGTTCCACGCTTGTCTCAGGGGGAAAATGGACCTGAAATCTTTCTTACAGGTAATAACAAAGCTCTCATTCACATGGCTTTGGTTGAAAAATTGAATCTACTCTCCTTTTTTACTCCCTTCCCTCCCTTCCTCTCTCCTCCTCCCCCCTCCCCCCCCAAAGTTCTAGTATGCTGGTCACAAGTACAAACAAAGGGAACGGATTTCCTTTGTCTAATGACAGTTACAGTCACAAAGTGACCTCAGACTCCCCTGTAAGGATAATATGCATTCCTATTTCCAGTCTTTGTCAGGGGAACTATGGGTGTGAATACAAAGCAAAGAAACAGGGCTCAGGCTCTGGGGCTGTTTCATTGCTATGTAAACTTCTTGGCTCAGGGTGCAGCCCAGACTCTGGGACCTTCCCACCTTGCAGGTGGAATCCGGTCCACTCACCTCTCAACATCCAGCAGGTTCTGGGCAGCTCCTCAGCAATTTCTGTTCCAATCTATGTAGCTCTTGCTCCTCTGCCTTCCCCATATGGGGTCTCCTGGTGAGAGCATAGGTGTAAGTCTGGATCCAGTGCCCCCTTCACTCCACTTTGTAAAGACTTTAAAGAGACACTGTCAGATTGAAATAACAGCCCTGAAAGTTCTGTACCTACAAGTGACCTCTAAGACAAGAACAGAAGGCTGAAGAATATTTTCCCTGGGTTTGCAATTTGTTTATTTTGTGTACTTGTGCATCAGTGAGTTTCACGGTGGTGTTGACGGTGTACACCCTGGCATAGGCTCGGCAAGGATTTTTACCAGTTACAGCTACAGTTCGTAGGTGTGTGCACAAAAAGAGAGGGACTGGGGAGTAGAGTTGGGACCACCAAACAGGTTTGGTGGTGGTGTGCTTCAGACCCTTACTAATATAAACTGGGGAGCAGAGAAACTCTGATTTTGTTTTAAAAAAAAGTCAGAACATACTACTGATCAGAAAAAATTGATTTAACTATTCAGTTATTAACAATTAAAAAGCTCAAGTTGACATTGTCACTTTAAGAGGCCAAATTGAGGCAGCCCTGAAAATTTAGCCCATACAGGGAAGAAAGCAAAAGTTGCCTCTGAAAGGCAAAACAGACAAAGATGTGCTCAGAGCCTGCTTGTACTAGCATGTGAAGAACACAATGTAAGCTGTAAAGAGGGAGGAACCTAAATGTATGGGCCTTTTCAGAAAACATTTCTGATCCTAGGTGAAAATCACATAGTAAAGGGGAATGAACTCTGCACTGTTGAACTCAAGGGGGCCAGGATTTCAACCCAGAAGTTTTGACACTAGATTTTAGACATCCCATTTAATAACTAACTCACTTCAGATTAACGCAATAAGAATTCCCCTCATGAATAGTGTTACCCTTTTCTTTTTTTGATCCTAAATCTAGTAACGTTTCTTTTGTCAAATTGGTAAATTCCTCCCTTCAGTTATTTTTCCAGTATTTTACAGCATACAACAGTAGATCAGTGGGAAGTGAACTGCCTTCAGACATGACTGTTTCAATCCAGGCAACTGTGCACTGAGGATGTGTCCTGTTGTGTTGAATTTCACCCCACCACAACACATCATTAGAGCATTGTGACATGAACTGATGTGGAACAGTTAATCATATCTGATTGATGCACTACATCACAATGGTTCAAAACTTCAACTCTTCCCTTGTGTATGGGAAGAGGTTATGTTTCCCTTCCCTTCTACCAAATGCTAACATATATACTAGTCAGGACAGATAAACAGAAGAGTCGATTAAGGGGAGTAGTCTTGATAAGCAGGTGTGAAATTCAGATTGTTACTTCAGGGGAACTCTGAAAGGAGGCTGGTTAGTTGAGCGCCAAACACATGATACAATCTGTCTTTGCATAAAGCAGACAATGGACCTGATTCTGACGTTGTTTATGCTGGAGTAATTCAGGAGTAGATCCACTGGCTGGTGTGATACCAATGTCACTGAGCATAGACTGAGTAGCTCCTATGATATTTTTAACCGGAGGTTTTGTGCTCTGCTTGAATGAGTGAACATTACTGCAGCACCTCTGCTGTGGTTATGAATATATTGGGCGCTGAGGTTTAAGAAATGACAAAATCCCAAATCACCTGGATTATGCATTACTTGGGCTCCGATCCAGAACTGATCTCTATATGATCTTAGGGGTATGCCCATGTCGAGCTCAATCCAGGATTGAGGCCCTGATCAGCTCCGAGCTGATGTAAATTAGCGTGGCTCCACTGAGTAGAGCTAGGCTGGTTTATGTCAGCTGAGAGTCTGGCTCTAGAAGAGGGTGTGTGGTGTTTATGTCCAAAATAGGAGTCAGTGTTATAACTATAATCATTATGATGCCATCCTAAGATAAGAGCAGGGATGTTTTTAAAAATACTAATATAGGATTAGTCTCATACAATTATTATTTAATGACAGCTCCTTTACAAGTTTGAATGTGTTGCCTTGAGACTTGGTCTTCGGTATGGCTCTTTCTGACTTTTATAAATCTGTTAATTTAAATAATATTCCAAGATAAATGAAGGAATTAAAAATGAAAATTATGGAAAAGAAAAAATAAACAGTGCAAACAGAAATTAATATTAATTTAACGCAGAATGTGAAAATGTGTCAAAAGTGCTAATCAAATAGTTTAATGTAAAACAAAAACTAAAAATTGTATTTTTAGGAAGGCAATATTTTCTGTATTAGCTTTCAGTCACTTTCACATAGGACTATATCAGTGCCAATTAAAATTCTATGACCATCAGTATAACGACCCAATCAAAGTTATTTCTAACCTATATAACAACCTAAGTATAATTAACAAACTATATAATTTCTAGAGCTGCCCAAATAATTAAAAATATTTGACAAATAATTGATTCATGATTGAAAAAACGAATAAATTATTTGAAGAACTCCATAGAGCTAGTTGAATAATTAAAAATGTATTTGTGAATAATTGTTAAATTAATTGATGGAAAAATATATTGAATACATTATTAGAACATTAAGTCGAATATGATTTGACTCATACTAGTAGGCTTCAGTACTACAGAGTGCTGAGTACCTTCTGGTGACGATGGGACTGGAGGGTGCTCAGCAGAATGCACTCTCAGGCTTTTAAATATTAGGGCCTTGTTTCAGTAAAGCACATAAACTGGAGCTTAAGTGCTTTGCTGAATCAGGGCCTGTGCCTACTCCTGTAAACACTTACATATGGTTAGCTGGGACCACTACTGTGCATAGAAGTACTTATGTCTGTATGTGTTTGCAGGATCAAAGCCCCGTTTGGTATGAAATTAATCTTTCCAAGCTGTTATTACTAACATAGACATTGTTATACATAAAAGATTTCTTAATATATATATATATCCAAATTTCAACCCCCATATTCAGTGTATTCACGATTTGAACTATTTAAACTGTTCTAATCTTTCCATATTAGGTATTTGCTCAGTAGCCTTAGTTTACAACCAACTATACATATAGATGTATTTCGTAAAATACCTCTCACCCTTATCTTCAGTAATGTGTTTTTTCTGGGTAAAATATACTCCATCTTCAAGGCTCTGTGTGCCTGATCCAAAGCCTATTGAAGTCAATTGGAGAAATCCAGCCCCCCACTCTGTGGCCATTAGGTGACTGTCACCCTTCAGCACAGTTCCTGTACAGGCTTTAGGTGATGAGTGGCGCACTTTGCTTTTGCCTTCGCAAACCACAGAATAATTATGCCCACAGTGTTGAAGGACAATATCAATCTCATGTGATATTTAAGTATTTTCTAGCTTCAAGGCACTTTACACACATGGCTGCTTTTAGTTATGTTTTTATACAATGATTAGTGAAGTTACTCGGGAAAACAATGAATTTCTTGATAATATTCTGAGTTTTCAAGTTCTCATTAGTCTTAACAAAACCTGATAACTGACATACTGGAAGTGCTAATCATAAACTATAATTTTTTTACAGTAAGAGACACCCTTTCTAAGCAATGGTTAGTTCTTTCAGAGGAATATTGGTCAGTCTTTGAGATAAGAACATACAGCTGTCTGTTGGATTAGTTATCAGTGGCACCAGTATGTTGTTCAAACATGCAAGCCCCAGCTCTGGTTATGGTTCATGATTGGAGTATATCATTTCAAGAAATAAGAAGCTTCAGTTTAAAGTGGTATTATAATGGTATTTTTAACACCACAGACTTCTATGTGACAAAGAGATCATTAATGTCTGCCCACGTAGGAAAGTCTTGCTGGTGTTACCACATGGCATAGTCTTAAAGGGGGCCCTTCTTTAGACTTGGTTCTCTCCAGTTTTCCATCCAAGTGTCCATCAGCCCATGGTGAAGAAAAGGAAGTAAATATGTTCATGCTCCTTCTTTGATGAATAGTCTAATAGGTGATTTCATGACAAACGTTATCTTCTGCACTTTGAGGAAAATAGTCTGGAATCCACTGGCATAGAAGGAATGCTTCTTGTGTTACATGTCCATTGCCCAAAAGGAAAATATTAACATATGCTTGTGATTTTGACTATGTTAAGTCATTTTCTATTCGATAAGAACTTGAGAATCTTTCCAATGACCACAGTGGGCTTTGCATCAGGCCCTAAATACCTCCTTTTCAGATATTTTCAGATAACCTGGTTAATAGTCATCTCTGAATTATGGTCAACTGTGATGCTTTCCAACTGGTATAATCCCATTGTCTTTTTAAATTATCAACAATACGATTCCACTGCATAAACAAGTTATTTTATCTTCTTTTGCCAATGGCAAACAAAGATAATAACAGTATACATATGTATTGGGTATTAACACCATTATGTTTTCCTAGATGATAGATTTAATGGAATTGTCAGTGTCTACTGAGTACAAATATAACTTCCTAATTTTACTGAGTGGCTATCTGTCAGTAAAATGATTTTGTGATCTTTAACAGAAATATTTTAAATACTGTATGTTGCCTATATAATAATTACAAGTTAATGAACATCTTAAAAGGAATACAATTAAACCCATATCACAGTGTTTTCATGCTCCTAACCATAATCAGTTCTGTATATTAAGGTAAAATCTCATTCCTACAGTAACAACATTATGATAACTTGTTAATAACATTATTCTGATTTTACAAACAAGACTTTGTTAATTAATTTTGGGAAATCCTATGGCCTGTGTTATACAGGTCAGGCTCACAGTGTATGATCAGAGTGGGACCTTCTATTAGTCTATATTAGCTTTATGTTTTTGTTAGTAATTTATGGGACAGATATTAGAAAGTGTCTTCTAAAATTGCATCTGCAGCTTTTGTCCATGTAAAAGATCTGGGAATGTAAACTTACAGGTACAGTTTTACTTGCTAGGTTGAGGCCCCTATGAAAATTTAGCCCTACATATTTTTTTCTCTTGAATCTAAGCTGTTGGACTGTAGTTTGGCAGTGGGATATTTCAGACCATGAGGGTAGATTTTCACATAATTTGGTCATTTCTCTCTTACTGCACACAGTTAGGATTCTTCAGTAAACAAATCATCACACTGGGGGAGGTGAGAGAAAGTAAAGAGAGTTGGATCTTGCTACAGCAATCTACTGTATGCAATCTACTGTATTAAAAGGATATTTAGCCCTGGTTATTCCAGCAGAAGCCCACGTAGACCATGGGTTAGGACAAAGCTGTTGTGGTACAAGTTGGTTGGACCTCCCCCTTCTCTGAAAGGCCATGGAATAGTACGGCATTGGGTGGGTAGGGTGTCAGGAGACTGAGTGAGGACCAGGGTCCCAGTGAGTGTCTGAGACTGAGTGAGGGCCAGGGACAGGCCAGGGATCCAGGAGACTGAGTGAGTCAATGTGTCCTCTATCAGCTGGGCTTCTATGAAGCTTCAACTGCGACTTAATTGCCGTAGTGGAACCCCTAAGGGAGGGTGGAGTGCCTGTCTGCATCTGGAACTGAATTCCCCTCCTTGTGCAGTGGCCCCTGCTGGCTCAGGAAGTCACATGTTGCTCCCCCTTCTGTGCCAGCAAGAGTGAATGGAGTCCATTTGCTTTTCCAAAGTACACTGTAATTTGCTGGGCCAAAATAGAACATGTAAGTGAAGCTTAGAAGTAATCTCTGCTTAAGCACTGACCCTGGCCCTCAGATTTATGTGCTGGCTCCTGCTGTCCCATCATACACTAAAATACCCATGCCAGTGGGCAGTGTTTATGTAATGATGTCGTCTCATTAAAAAAAATATATGGTTGTATTTTGTATTTGTTGTTAAAAATCTCAGCAAAGACCTAGGACTTGATTCATTGGTGAAGTGGAGTGCAACCTGACTCTCTTGTATCACCAGAGGCAGTTGTTCCCCAGGGTCGATTCATTCCCTGAGGAGAGCAAGCATTGTTTTCCCTATTGCACTTCTTGGGAATATCCAGTGTTCCAGTGAAAGATGCTCACCTCATGGATGCTGTCCCTGCCACCCACTTGCTGAGGTGCACTCATCAACTTGGTATCCTCTATTTGAGTGAGAATTGTGGGTGTCTTGCAGTATGGCAGCCCCCCTTTGGGACAGACTTTCTGCTGCTGGAGGTTGGCAACTCAGGGCTTGTCTACACTGAAGCGGCTTTCTGCGCTCAAACTGCAGCCGTGCACACACGGCCAGGCCACTTTGTGCGCAGAAACTCCTCAGTTGCAGCCCTGCAAAACACCCACCTTGACGAGAGTCGTAAGGCTATTTGCGCAGAGGCTCCAGCGCTTTATTGCCAGTGTAGATGCTTGATTGCTTTCTGCGCTGTAATTGGCCTCCGGAGCTGGTCCATAATGCCTCAAGTGACCGCTCCGCTCGTTGTTTTGAACTCGGCTGCCCTGGAGACATGCGCCCCTCCCCTTTCAAAGCACCGTTTCTGACAGCTGTTGCGTGCTGTGCTGATCTGTGCTGGGATACAAAGCAAACCATTAACATGGAATGCTTGTGCTGTTGAACACAGAGGCAGGTGTGCATGTGTGTGTGTGAGAGAGAGAGAAAGAGATTGCTGTGCAGAGAGCCCAGGGAGGGAGGCGGGGGCTGATGTTGGGGTTTCCCCCTGCCTCAGGACTGGTTGCTTCCTGCCGCTGTCTGCACTTACAAGACAGCATTCTGACACACTCTCTGTCCCCCCCAAACACACTGTCTCTTTCCCCGCCTCCATACACACACACACACACTCCCTGTCACACACTCTTCCCCCTTCCCTCCACGGCAGTTGAAAAGCAGCTGGCAATGTAGTAGGATGCCCATAGAACAATGGCATTGGGAAACCTGCATCATGTGATGCTGTGCCTGCCCCATAAGGCATTGCAAACCCTTCCCAAAGCACCCTGTGGCCAGTTGCACAGTAGGGTAGCTACCACAATGCACTGCTGTCTTTGCCGTTGCAAGAGCTGCTGGTGTGGATGCGCTCCAGCGTTGCACATGCAAAGCGGTTTAATTCCAGCTTTTTAATAAAAGTGGTATAACTTGTGGTGCAGAAACTTGCCAGTGTAGACATACCCTCATGCCATACCATATCATCAGGAACCTGGGAGTGAATAGAGCTCTCTCTGTGTTAACAAGAAAATACAGTTGTAAAGTGAATGTAAAATGAAAAGTTGTAAAAAGTGTAATACATACAAAAGAAAGTTAAAACACACATAAGATTGGATCCAGCCACTCAAGACACAAAGGCCCCCTGCCCTATTCGCTCCTACACAGCTCTGTAAAAATGCCTGAGCTTCACAAAGGTGAACACTGGAATACATGGCATAGAATCATAGAATATCAGAGTTGGAAGGGACCTCAGGAGGTCATGAAATACATAAAATAGATTTGACCTCAAAATCCATTAACATTGTGGATTAAATGTAGCAAATTATGGTCCCTGCACTGGTAGTTCAGTGTATTCACGTTTTTAACAGGAGAGGACCCCTCTGATTTTTGACAACAAACTCCTCATAGTTTTACACAAGACCTTTTGAGGTTTTTTAAAGTGGCTTTGCTAACATTGTGACTTCCAGTGTAAAATATGCATTAGGACTTACACCCTGACCATACTCTTTGTAAGTGAAAAAATAATGTTTCCCTGTGGCTGAGATTCAGCAGGCAAATGCATGGGGCTCAGAAGCCTTCCTGGATTTTGAACTAGGGCCATACAATTTCCAAATTAAATACCCAACGTGCTACATAGGATCTGAGTATAATAAGCCGCAACAAACCTTAGGATATTTGTTCTTAAATTATGAAGGAACAAAATCAAGCTGATAACTTTTACTTTTTCAATTTTCACATAAAGTATTTGGCCAAAGCTGCCATTGGTTACGCTGATGTAAATCAGGAGTAACTCCAGAAGGGTTGCTTGGATGGACAATGGGGTGCATTTACTTTGTTGATGAAGAAATGAGGATGAAAAAGTGTTTGGCCTTTTAAAATAATTGAGTCTGTTTGCATACTGTGTGTTATTTGGTATGTTTAAATTCTCAACTCTTTCATATTAGCTACATTAATTTTTTTTAAATCTATTTTAAACATGTTATTGCAATACATGCTGAAATATTTCTGAAGGCCAGGGTTAGAACTTGCCAGTTGGAAAAAGACAGTCTTAATTGCTGAAGTATGAAAGTCAGATGGCCTCAAATACCATCTGAAAAGATAACCATATTTTTTTCAGCTGTTGTGTAGCCTCCATATCTTACTGTCAAGAAGCTTCTTTTGGGACTGAGACAGGTCACGTTGGAAGTCAGTGGCTAATCAGCTCCCACTGCAGATTTGTCTGCCTTCAGCTTGAATTATCTTAGGCAGACATCCTGGCTAGCTGCAACACAAACGTCTGATGGCTTAAGCCTGAGAAGACCTGAGTTTGGCAGCCACTAAGTTAGAGATGAGGGGAAAAAAGAAATCCTATCTTTTCTGGTGCTTTTCCCTTCTTGGTTTCCCCACAAAAAAATCAATAATGTGGTCGATAGTAGGTTTTGAGTTGTTCACTACATAATGGAGTTTTTTTCTGATGTAAACCTTGGGTGTCTGGGTTTCAGACATTATAAGGTGTCAGAGGAGGTTTGATAGCTGCCACAATTGTCCCAAGTTACATTTTCTTTCCAGTGACAGCCTTTGTAATACGAGAAGAAAAGGAGTTCAGCAGTTATAAGTATAGATCATTTTTACACCATTTACAGTTTTTTTGTGGGTGAAAAGTTGTTCAGAAATGCATCATACTCTTTTTTAAAACTTACATTGAAAAAAATTCACTTGAGACAGTATTAAAGTCAATAGAATCAGTTTTTCAATAAACATTCCAAACTTTGTGTGAACTAGCCAGTGTGAGACTTCATGAAACATTTATTTTCCTAATTTCCTTGAAAAAGATATTCAGAATATAATTATGTAGGTTGAACAATAGTCTTATTAATTAAATAATCCATTCAGGAAAACATTATTGTTTCTTTCCATCACTAGAGGTGTGTCAGGAGTAGCTGAACTAATATGTAATAGAATTGTTGTTACTTGTGTGTATACATACAACATACATTTTCTTTTTTCATTAAGAGGTATGTGTCTAACAAGCTTAAA